TGCACCCATTCCCTTCCGGACAGGCCTGTCCTTTCCCCAGGGTCACTGCCCTCGCACCGAACGCCAACTGGCGGAGAGATGGCCTCGCCCTACTCCCTTCAAATTGGCAGCTGCCGTGCTGAAGAAGCGCCGTGATGTCAGAACAACAACAAAGTGGGTCCTCCCTGCCCTGCTGCCCCCTCGTAAGACTTCTCCTACCCGCGGAGAACATTAGAAGGGCCTGCAAGTACTGACGCTCAGCCCCAATTTTGGCAATCTCCTCTCGTCAACGGGGTGCCAAGGAACGCAGTTACTGGCCACGGTGGTTCCACATTGCCCGCATGTTGCTCGCCAGGACGCAGGAACGCAAACACCTGGCATCGGCCTCCCGAGGGCGAGAGGCTCCTCAGGACTTACCACGGAGTCATGGGAGCACCAGAGAGGGTGAGCGAGCACCCACGGAGATCTCCGGGCACGAGAGACCCAGCGGGTCTTCCCCGAGGGCACAATCGGCCTGGACGCATGGCAGCACGCTTCTGACGGCGCCCCAGGGCTTAGCCTTGCGAGGATGGGACCAGCTATGCCATTTTTTTAGCAATTTGCTGGGAAAATGATTAAAGCCTGTGTTTTCCAGATCGCTTCTCACTAGAGAAACCTCGAGGTGATTTCAGGCAGATTGAGGCCAGACACGTTCTTCAGAATTAGACCCCTTCCCATAATTAGACCCCCTGACTATTGCCTTCACCATGACTACAAAAACAAGAAAAAAACCCCATTTACCCGCAGCAACATGCTCGGCAGGTCTTCCGAATGGGCATACTGCTCCAGCACGCTGTCCAGCGTTTCCACGTACCACGAGCCGCTCGACCTCTCCCTCCAGGACACGAAACCTTCCGAGAAAGAATGAGAACGTTACCGCTAAAGCCAGTCTTCTGTTCTCGTCCTGCCAAGTTACCGCCGCTCCCCGGCCGCCACCTCCAACGGAGCCTGTTGCCCTTTACCGCCCCCAAAGCTCCGACTTTTCTGCTACTCGCCCCGTAGCCAGCAAAGGATTTGTGTGGGCTGTCTCACCCGGGAAGGTCGAGTAGGAGACCAAGATGTCGCTGGGTGTGGGCAAACTGGCTACGGCGTCTGGCTCGTCCACGTTACCCGACAGAGTCTGAAAAGGAGTCGCGTCCGACTCCAAAGAACCTCCAGGCGCTTCGTCTCCAGGTGAATCACAATCCACTACAAAGCCTCGATCTCTCTGTTCTGCAAAAAGCGGCAACAAGACAACCCTGACATTCATCTCACCGACA